ACGCAACACAAGAATTACAGAAAATGGGGGGGGGGGAGGGAGACTCAAAGCAGCGTAAAGTGGGGTCAGATAGTTAAGTTCAAAAAACGACAGGAACAGGTTTGTTTGTTTCACCGTACACGTTTTGATATTTTTTGTGTCAGTTTACAATTATGGAATCCGGTGATTTGTACAGTTTGAGAGTTTCTTTGACAACGCACCATGACAGTTCAGGTTTTTAGGCCAATATGTGGCCCTATTCACAAAGCGTGAGGGGTTAAAAACAGATCTGTGCAAGACCCTCAACTTTTCTAATTTCCACAAACGATCTAACGGGACCACAAACAATGATGTCAGCAGAGGATGCAAACGTATGGAATACAGTGGTAAAACCTGAGGACTTAGTAGGACTTCGTCGAATTCGAGAATTGATTTTAGAGTAACAAATAATGCAAAACCCCGACCATCCATTTCCTTCACTGTCGACCTTGCTGCGTAACATTCATCTCATGGGGCATTCGTTCATGTTGGTGTTCCCAAACTGTCGACCAGAATGATGGCGTCATTCCTTTAACCTCATAGTGGGTACTTTAAGGATTTCCTTATGGCTTTACTCTTTTTCTGCGCCCACAACCGATTATTTCCAGCAGAGACCGGAGGAATCATTATCGTATCTTAAATTTCGATATCTACAGCAGTACGCGGAACTTTGTGCCATCCCTCATCTGTATTCGTACTCCGTATACCGAATCCAGATGCCATCCATTTCACTGAAGGTTCACTCTTCAACAGGTGCCAAGAGAGCTATTCTCAGTGGTATCTAAAGATGATGCCGAATTTAATTGGTATACTGTGTTAGTTGTAATACGCAGACATAGCAGTTTTTCTACTTCAGATGTTAAATGGCAAATGCGCGTTTGCTTTAGTGGCTGTCACCATCACCGGTGTCCGTGGGAATTAGAAACAACTAAGTGCGCACAATACCACAAAACATTAGCGACATTCCCGAATATCCACTGGAATCATTTGTCAAACGATTTCCATGATCTTACGTGAAGCACAGGAATAAACTAAAATATACACGCAGGCTTTTTAAACGGGTTCACTTTCTAAAAGTTGCCATGGTTGAAGCAGTCCAAACAAGGAAAATTGTTCGCTCGGAGGAGGTAAACATGATTCGACAGTATGATCCAGGGAAGGAACACTGTTTCGTTTTCAATTTCAGTTTGCAAAACCAGTAACAATGAATTTTTATGTGCCGGGTTTTGATTGCTGGCTTTTACCTGCTCATTTAGATAAACGAGCACAAGGCAGATTGGAATGTTGAGAGCAGAGTCCGAGAGAACATAGAGAACCCAAATAAACTGAGGTTGCAAGAAGAATCAGTAGGTGAACGAGCGCCACTGTTTGCGACAGCCATATAACTCACTGCCTCTAACAACTAGTTACTATGATCTACGAGGTCCCGTCCAGAGAACCTTACGCGACCAATGTGACTCAGTGTCTTGGTTGGGGGTTTTATAACTTCATATAAGATCTTATTTTGACATTCCATGGACTTTTCCATCCGCTGTCTACCTCGGAAAACATCGTGCGCCGTGGCAACCTATTTGATGACGTGCGTAACATGCCCGTAGTCGATGGAGGTCGACCACTTGTTCCAATGGATGACAGCGGTTAACCATAACTTTGTATCTTAGCTCAGCATTGCTTTCCGGTTTCCCCACCAGACTCGGGTAATGTGACGCAGACAGCGGTGTTCGAACAATGTTTTTTTATCGCTGGTTAGGATATGTGCTACACATGTCACCATATAGGTTGCCACGGCGAGGGACGTCTGCCGAGGCAGGTAGCGGTTGGAAAAAAGTCGAGGGCGGTCAAACTAAAACCTGGCACGAGGGTATGAAAACCATAGTAAGGAGATTGGGTCACACAGGTCCCATTAGGTTCCGTGGATGGGACCCCCGAGACCATGGCCACCGGTGTTTATAAACACAGCGATATGGCTGGGGGCGCAAACAGTGGCGCTCATGCATTTACTCATTATTCCCGCAGCCTCAGTCTATATGAATTTTCTATGTTCCGCTTCAATTCGTTCTCAACATTTCAATCATACATATATATATATATATATAAAACAATCCTTGCAGATGAGGTGAACGAAAAATATAAGAACAGAACCGGGGAAACAAAAACAGTCAATTTGGGGAATAACAAAACTTTGTTTGTTTACTGCACGCTATTTTGAGTTTTTTCTTCTTCTTTATTTTTGGAATCGCACACAGGAAAGGATGCATTCACACCACTGACTTCGGTCCGATCCCATATCCCACAGTCTCCAGACAAAGACAATCTGAATCTTTGAGGCCTTCAGCCGGGGAGCCGGGAAACCCCGACGGAAACCTGATCGGAGCACAATCTCTGTTCCCTCTGCGAAATGTCACAGCCCGCCCACCTCGCTTTTTCTTCCAACCCGGAACGACGTCTGCAAATAGTGCATTGTGTGGCAGATGTTGCTCAGGCCTTTGTAGCACTTGCCCTAGCCAACTAAGACAGTGCAGTGAAACGGTTTTACTCAACGGAAGACTATCTGATACTAACACATCGTCTGACCTCATCCGTATTCACGCGATGCTCCCACCATATGCGATTGATGATCCGCAGACAACGGTAGTCAAAATAGGCGGTCGAAAGACAGCAACCAAAACCGGCGTACAAAAGTGCATGGTTGTGACAAATGAACTGAACCGAACTCGACCTTTCACATGCAGCCGGATGTAGCGACGGTGCCATGAATGTCCAAAGTTAGCAANAACGGAGCCTTCGGTAGGCGTCTGAACACTTCATCTGCGACGCGTCCGCCAGGTGAGATACAGTTTCCCAAATAACAAATTTTGTCTACTTCCTCAGTTAGAGTGAGTTTGAGGACTGGGCCAACCCGGTCTTGTAACATTTTAGACTTCAGAGGTGCACAACGCATGCCGAACATTACACTATCACTCAAACTGCAGAAGAATAATAAGACGGTGGCCTACGTAAGACCTTGGTCGTGATGCTGAAAACGATCACTGAATTCGGACGTGCTTCGAGTCAAACAATCGTATGTTAATCTCATCCCTGGACTTCTAACAGATGCCATTGAAATGGCTTGAAAATTAGCATGTATATCACTGAACTAAAATGTCACCACAAAAGGACCCCAAGAAATGTTGAACGGAAATAAAACAAACCATGACCAATATCGGGGAAAACACTGAAAACGATTAGTGGAAACTTGCCTGTATTTTTCTCCAAGGGGAGACAGCTACGGAAGACGAGTAATTTTTGTGGGTTTAGTTCCAACTGTATGGTTCGCGGCTGATTCCCACTGGCCTGATCTGGATCAGATCCACTAGTACTCGGGGGTGGCTGAACGGATTTCCGTTCGGTATGTTTATCATATTGCAAGTTCGGTAAATGTTCCGACAGTTCGTCGCCAGGTGTGTCACTAGATCCAGTGGATTTGGACTGTGAGTGAAACGCTTCTGTCTCAACGTGAATACTGGCCAGAGTAATGGGTGAGTCCGATCGTCTAGTTGTTTTGGTTCGCTGATCAACAGAGTGCATATCTTGCGACATCACTGCGATGCCCTCAGAAACGGCGTACACATTTAGCACCAAGTGTTGACGTAGACTCAATTGTTGAGAGAGAGCGCGACGCCAATCCTCTGTCCTGATCGGTTTTCTCAATGCCGAAGGCACCTCGACTACAAATCAACGAAATGAAAACAAATATTGGTAACTTGTTTTGGAACGCGGTAGATAAGCGTGTGACTGTAACGAAGACAAAAGCAGTGTAAATTCTGATACAGAGGAATAACGGGGATTTGCAATGCACAAGGATAACAGTCAGGTACAAAATTTACAGCCTGGGATGTGCAGGCAAGCATACACTTGCTGTCGTGTGTGATAATAAAATAGAACTAGTCGGAAAGAGCAACGCAAAAGTTCGTGCAACTGTCGAAATGCATTGAAAACAAGTAAGGAAAGGGTTAACTTGCACCTATGTCCAAATGCTATGACCTAATCACTCAAGTAAAGCTTAAATAGATATACTGGGTGGAATCTGACAACAAAGTGAGAGCTTATCGACTCTTCACATTCAGAAAAAAGCGTTGAGAACCGGAAGTACTCGAAGATACAAACCATTGTGCATTGCAGTCCATTTAAATAGATCCAGAAACGAAATAAAAATGTGAGGCTAAACAAAAGATCGTAGAACACATAAGACTATGCACCCATTATATGATTTTCGGCAACAGATCCCTCCGACAATCAGTTGTGCCAACTCTTCGGTTGAGTATCGTTCGCGTTTTAATGCAGGATTTTGTTATCTTTTCATTTTATGCATGAATATATAACGAAAAGCTAACCACTTTTTCTCTCATGTTATCAGCTTGTGTGAAGACAAATTGGCCTCTTGGAAAAGTAGGATTGGCCATGTATGTTTGTCGGTTTGTGGCGAATTCAATGTGAATTGAGACCCGAATCCTGTTCCAACTCCGTAGGTCCAGAATGTTGGGAGGGCCTAATAGATCTGTGGACTCCGTGAATGCAGCAACCAAAGTCGTGAGCCTAAGCGGAAGAGTCAATCTGGAGGCACAGTTAGTAGGGGGGGGGGTATTTTGAAGATGATGATTGTTTTGAAATGATGTTCGCAGGTCGTCGGAGAATAGGACACAACCGCTACAGAGTAGAAGACAATGCCTCGTTGCTGCAGCATCATCGCCAAACTGGTTCGTTGGAAACTTATTTCTGCCATCCAATTTCAAATTTTCGGAAACCGCAGATGCGTAATGAGCACGTTTCCTAGCTGTGGGTTCAGTTCAGTTTGTTTGCACCAACTAGGCACTTTCGTGCCACGGTTTTGGTCACTGTATTTTGGTTTCCCATTTGGGAGAACAGCAGGAGAAAGACAGGAACGTTGAGAGTATGGTTGAAGAAAAAATAGACAATATAAATCAAGGTGGCTGTTCTGGGTAATCACCTTTAGTGGATGTCCCCTGAGGTGATCATTATGAGATAAAGTCAGCACAGAATGGCAAGGGTGGTTGGGTTGATGCAGAATGAAATATCCCAAGATTAGGTCCTCCCGAAGTCGGCGGTATTGAGATGATTAGAGCCCCAATATTTGTAGTCTTTCGGAGTATGTCTTGTTATACAGGGCATTTACCAGTTTCGTTCCCAACCTTTGCGGACGTTCTAGAGCGTCCTTGTCGCGGTTTAACCAAAAATCCCATACTCGAACGATGCACTCCATGTGTGACCGAACGAACGCTGATAGCAAGCGTGGGAACAGTGCTCTTTCGAACTGCCCGAAAATACGTCTGAGTAGTCCAACTTGCTTTAGAACCATGTATGATGCTCTGGCACAGTGCGTGGAACAACCAACGTCCTCCTGTACCAAATCCCTTTCATCAGTGGCATGCGGTAGTATTTGGTACCCCAGAACATAAGAGAAACGAGTCATGTGCCGCATAGAAACAACTCTGCATTTGGAAACGCTGAACTCGATGTCATTGGCGATTGACCATCGGTGGGCTGCATCGATCGTTTCTTGGAGTGCTATATAATCTTCTAGATGTGTTACAGTTCTCCAGATCTTAGCGTCGTCCGCAAATGGCAGTGTATTAGGCCCAAGGACATGTGGCAGGTCATTTATAAATGCCAGAAAGAGACGAGGCCCCAGTACGGATCCTTGAGGAACCCCTCGGGCAGTGGTGGTAGGCTCTGATAATGAATTACCAACATGAACTGACAGGGTTCTTTGTCAGAGAAACTCTTTGATCCAGTCCAGAACCAAACCTCTCACTCCATAGTTGTAGAGTTTTCTCAGTAGAATTTGGTGGTGTACTCGAACAAATGCTTCGGAGAAGTCCAAATAAACTATATCCAATGGCTGCCCTGCATCGACAGATTTTGTCCACTCATCTCGTGCAAGAAGTAGATTCGTGGTGCACGAACGCTTGTGCCGAAATCCATGCTGAGTTACAGACAAAATGTCACGCTTCTCCAGATATTCCATCGACAGATCTGCCGCAATAGGCTCCATGAAGTTCGACAGTATGGGAGGAAGTGTAACATGCGAACGTGCGCTCGAGTGCCCGTGTAGTATGCTGGCAATATTGGTATGAGCTTTGGAATCATCCGTCAACGACAGTCATACCCCACGAGCAAGTTAGAATGAATGAATTGACAACTGCGGGGAAATCTATCCAACAGGATGTTGTCAGCTGTGAGAACTTGTATCAGTTTTGCAAAATTATACGCAACACTAAGATTTACTAAATATAAGCCGCCTGGGTGGAAACTGGGGTGGTTAGCCTAATCGATTGCAAAACGGTTCAAAAGTAGTGCCGCAAAAGTGCTGTCACCTTTGGCAATAAATTGACTAATCAGTCGTTTTTGTGCATTCCGACCCGTCGCTTTTTGCGGGCCTAGGGTGGATGATTCATGTATGCTGGTTCCTGGGAATGGATCCGCACTGCCTCCTAAATCCTAAGTATGGATGGGAGTGGGTGTCCAGGGTTGCGGCTGGTCACTGTTTCCTTGCGCTTTGTGAAATGCTCCTATACAACCA